AAAATCTGGTTCAATGACCGTGGGATTACTGTGCTTGATTGGCCAGCAAACTCGCCTGACCTGAACCCCATAGAGAATCTATGGGGCATTGCCAAGAGAAAGATGAGAGACATGAGCCCGAACAATGCAGAAGAGCTGAAGGCCACTATTGAAGCATCCTGGTCTTCCATAACACCTCAGCAGTGCCACAGGCTGATAGCTTCCATGCCACGTCGCATCGGGGCAGTAATTGCTGCAAAAGGGGCCCAAACCAAGTGATGAGTACATATGCATGCCTATACTTTTCAGAGGTCAGATATTGTTCTATGTATAATCCATGTTTTATTGATTGCATGTAATATTCTAATTTTCTGAGATTGTGGATTTGGGGTTTTCATGAGCTGTAAGCCATAATCATCACAATTATGACAAATCATGGCTTGAACTATCTTGCTTTGCATGTAATGAGTCTATCTCATATATTACTTTCATCTTTTAAGTTGCATTACTAAAATAAATGAACTTTTGCACGATATTCTAATTTTTCAAGTTTCACCTGTATAGATATATCATACCATGCAATGCTGCTTAGGATGCTATAGTGTCCACAATAACTTCAAAATAAATCTTACGAATATCTCATGATTAAACACCACGATGTGAACATCAATTAAAAACAAAATTACCTGCGTGCTGGAAAATCTTTTCTATTTTATACACCTTTCATATAATACCACCAAGTGTATAGTGATATAGACTATAAAGTCCAATGTAAATCAAAAGTACTCTTACACCATGCATAAATGGTGATTTCCCTGTGTCCTTGCACACTATGCGCTCACCTTGTTTTTGTGACCCATAAATATAATAGGTCTGAATGCACCTTTCCCTTTAAGGGGTTTATTAATTCCAATTCTCACATGTTCCACAATCTCCTGGTGGGATCCTGCACCTCCTCTTCTATTGCTGAAAGTAATAGAAAGTATATTTTTTTGCATATATAATTTGATTTAATAATATACACAATTCTCATTGTCACTCAGTTATCATTTATTAACCCATATTTACCCATAACAACTTAATAAAAAATAATGTTCATTAGCAAGGAATATACATTCCACATTAATAATCATGCTACAATGCTAAAAATGTGTGCTGTAAATTGCCTCCAGCATTGTTCCTGTTTCTTTTTGCTGGATGCTGCCATTTTGCTGAAGCCCAGAGCCCCTGAGCAACAGTATATCTTTAGGCTTCCAGCAGATCAGCCTTCACATTTTTGGCACAGTGAGCATGTGCAGAGCAGGGTGAGACAGTGCATTACTGGATTTTAAACAGTATAGGCACTTATTTGTAATGTTTAACATAGCTATACCTGCAAAAGGGGCCAGCCTGAAGTGATCTAGCAGGACTTCATTTTCTGACTAAAGCTCCACTTTAAAGTTTTAGTACAAATGCAGTTGCATTCACCATATTGGGTGGTAATACATAAGCAAAATATATAAGATCTATAGGTAAGGATCATAATAAAGCAATATAGGAGTTATAAAGTAGAAATGCTATGGATGTAAAAATGAACATAAAAGAAAAATCTCCAAGTGGAGAACTTATGGTCACATATCTGCAATAGGTATTTGAGGTAAATGTTGAGTAACAGAATGTATCACCAATGTCATAATCCAACAAACCGATATCTACTAGGCCAGTCCAGGGTTGGGACAAGGGGGGGGGCAAGAGAGGCACCTGCCCCAGGCACAGTGTGCTAGCATGGAGGAGGGGCACCAGTGGACTGCTACAGTGTCAACGATTGCTAGTATAGCACTAACCCTGTAGGAATCTCTGAGTTCTGGGTCCCCCTAAAGCTCTGCACAGCCAGGCATTACGCATTTACTTCCACACTTTGCACACTGGAGACAATAAACAGTCCTTGAGCTTGGTTTTGTTGTTTTATTATTGGATTAACAACTCAGATGGTGTCTAGGGGTATACAGGATGCCCAAGGAAAGTGTGAACTTGAGGACAACTTAGAGCAACTATGTACAAAAATGTAGACAAAAATAATCTCTCCTCTAAGAGCATCCAAAGCTATTTGGTGTACCTCCTCAGACACCAGATGAATCCTCCTCTTCACTCTGCTGCCTGAGGGGTATTCCCTGGGTAAGGGGGCCCAAGAACTAAAGATTAGAAACAGTTCTGGATAAAGCCTAGTTGGGTATTGCACTTCACCGCCCTCTCCCCCTTATCTGGCCCAGGGGGTGCAGGAGTACTCATTCCCTGTTTGCTTGGTGGGTTGGTGGCTGCCTTCAGGCCTTATGCTGGGCTGACTCCTTCCCTGTTTCACAGGCTGTCCTTCCAAGGAGACAATGGGGCAGAGGAGATCCTCCCTCCCTTCCAAAATCCTGCCTATGGGTGGGTTCCCCTCCCCGAGCCCCCTCCCAGGCTCCTCACTCCATATCAGCCCTTCTCAGTCCAACTACCACCTGACACTGCCCACCTCCCCCCAGGCTCTGACACATTTAAGGGTTACCCTGGTCACCATGCCAGCCTCCTGCCAGGGGATTGACCAGAGTCCCTCAAACGTGCAAATCTGAGCTTCCTCCTCTCTTCTGTCCCTACTCTAAAAAGCTCTCAAGAGAAGTCGGAGGGCTCCAGAAGCTCTGACCTTCAGAACCTCCCTAGCCTGTCCTGAGGTGAACTCCTGCCTCACTCACAAACTGAATCATCCCAGGCTGCTATTCAGCCTCTGCCTCAAAAAAAAAAACAAAGACAAACCAGCCTATCTGGCTAACCTGGAGGGCATTACAGTAGCACCAGGCATTTTCTCACATCTCCTGCAGATTGTCCCTGGGTCTCCAGTGCAGCAATCACTGACACTGTAGCAGATGGTATCTCTCTAAGCTGGCACCTTCAATCCTGGTACCTGAGATCTATGTTTGGGGCAGGAATAAGATGAGTTGTGCTAAAAGAGTAAGGGGGAGATTTATGCTCAGAGGGAATATGAGGATTTTTTGCTGGGGAAATTTGGAGGTGAGAGCATATGTATTGGTGAAGAGGGGAAGTTTGTGCTTGTAGGGGGGATTTGGGATGGGGGTTCAACCCTTTTACGCCGACGTCACACAAATATGGGGCCTCACAGACTTGGGCATATTTGTGTATCTGTCTTTCTGCTGGGAGCGCGCCGCACATAGCGCTCCCAGCACAAACACCGGGGTGTCACTGAGAGCCCCAGGTCCTGTTGATCGGGACTCGGGACTCTTGATTCCGGGTCACATGATTGGCTATCACAGTGATCAATCACTGTACGGCCCGGCCCCCTTGTTTTTTTTTCTCTCTATGAATGGAGGAGAGATACATTGTATCTCTCTAACTCCTGGCATAGAGGGGAAAAAAATGTTTGTTAAAAAAAAAGATAAATAAATAAATATTAAAAAATAAAAGAAAAAATACCTAGATCAAGGTTTAATCTAGTTCAGTGCCAGGGTAAGTGTTTTGAGCAAGGTTAAGGTCAAAAGGTCAGGGTCAAAGGTCAGGATTTAGTGTTTTTTTTTCTTAAATTGCTAATAGTGTCAGTTAGTATCAGTGTGTTTTAGGTAAACAACAAACAAAATGTGCACTATTGTTTCTGGGCTGTACTACGGGTACAAACAACAAATAACATACACATATATGGTATCACTGTGATTGTCAAGAGCTGGAAAATGTATTTTGGGTTGTTCTTTGGTGGTAGGTTATGGTAGTAACAAGAAACACACAGCTAAATTTAAAAAAATTATTTTTTTTTTTTATATATTTTGGGCCAGTTTACCTTTGATAATAAAAACAAATCAAGAGATATCTATTACTATTTACCACCAAATGAAAGCCTAATTTGTCCTGAAAAAAACGAAGTATAATTCACATGGATGTACAAAGAAGTTGTGATGATAAGTACACTTTTACTAGCACATGTCAACATTGCAAGATTGTGCTTAGGCATTAAGTTTTGTTTTACTCTTAGGCGTGAAGGGGTTAAATAACAGAATTAGCGCTGATGGGGGATTTGGGGGAGTAAGAGAATTTGTGTACCACCCCCCTCAAGAGCCCTTTCACTTCTTCCATCCTTTAGGGTTCATTTTCACTTGTGGTAGCCCCCTGAAAAATGAAGCACGATGGATGGCTTTTCAGAGGGCAGTTGACACCAGGTTTAGTAAATTATTATTATTATACAGGATTTATATAGCGGCAACAGTTTGCTCATCGCTTTACAATATAACGGGAGACAATACAAATCTCCCCCATAGTTTACTAGTTGCCGGTAAATCAAAGGCTGCTCGAAAAAAGATTTTACTCAAAAAAGGTTTATGGCAATAAGCCTAGGCCATGCACACTGCAGCTGTCAAACGCCCATTCCACAAGTGTTCGCCTTTTTTTCTGCCCCTAAACTCCCCTCTACCTTAGCCTATGTGTCAGGAAAGGCTTGCCCATAGTGCAGGTGAATGTTTGTGGTGCATAAGTATGCGCATGCGCAGAACAGTAATGGGCCAAGCAGATGCTCACTCACGCATTCAGGCGTCCACCTTACTAATGGTGGTGCCAAAAGGGCTATTTAACCACTAGCCTACAGGGCACTTATACCCCCTTCCTGCCCAGGCCAATTTCCAGCTTTCAGCGCTGTCACACTTTGAATGACAATTGCGCGGTCAAACAACAACACTGTACCCATATGAAATTTTTATCATTTTTTTGAGACAAATAGAGCTTTCTTTTGGTGGTATATAATCACCTCTGGAATTTTTATTTTTTCTTAAACAAACCAAAAACCACTGAAAATTTTGAAAAAAAAATGTTTTTTCTTCGTTTTTGTTATACAATTTTGTAAATAAGTGATTTTTCTCCTTCACTGATGTGCGCTAATGAGGCTGCAGTGATGGGCACTGATAGGCTGCACTGATACATGACACTGATACATGACACTGATATATGGCACTGATAGGCAGCACTGATAGGCAGCACTGACTGGCACTGATAGGCGGCACTGGCTGGCACTGATAGGCGGCACTGACTGGTACTGATGCGCACTGATAGGCGACACTGACTGGCACTGATAGGTGGCACTGATTGGCATTGATAGGTGGCACTGACTGGCACTGATGGGTGACATTGAAAGGCAGCTCAGATGGGCACTGATATGTGGTATTGATGTGCACTGGTATGCACTGATATGTGGCATTGATGTGGCACTGATTGGCACTGGCATGTGGCACTGATGGGCACTGGCACGTGGCACTGATGAGCACTAACAGGTGGCACGTCTGGGGCCACACTGATCATCAGGGCACACTGATCATCAGTGCCCTGATGATCAGTGTACATGTCCCCTCCGCGGAAAGCCGATTACCGGCTCTCCTCTCCTCTCGAGCTGTCACGCTGCCGATAACCGGCATTTCCGTGCTTACATGTGATCAGCTGTGATTGGACACAGCTGATCACATGACCGAGCCGACATCTTCGGCTCTTTCCATGATCTGCTGTGTCCGAGGGACACAGCACACCGGTGATCGCTGCGCGCTCCCTGAGCCGCGCATTCGCAGTGAGAATGGTAGGACGTTATATGACGTCCTATCAGAACGAGAGAACCACCTTGCACCCGTCATTGTACTATAGGGCGAGCGGAAGGTGGTTAACCACTTCCCAACCGGCCGTTGTATATAAACGGCCAGACAGTGGCACTGCAGGGTCGGGTGGCCGTCTATAAACGGCCACAGTGAAACACCGATCGTCGGACGGGACCTCTGTACGAGGTCCCGATCATGTGATCACTGATTGGCCAATCAGTGATCACATGCAAAGTAGTAAGCAAGATGTCACTTGTGACATCATTGCTTACTATGTGTGAAATCTGTGAATGATCACAGAGGTCACATGTGACAAGCTGTGACCAATCACAGCTCACTCTGTATTTCTCAATGAGTGCAGGAATGCACACAGAGAGAAAGAGAAATGATTGCTTTTACATCCTATATGGGTGTAAAAGCAATCAGTGTAAAAAAAAAAAAAATCTTTATCACCCCTCACAAGTAGTACAGTGTCACCATGGTGACACTGTACTGCTAGGGTGACAGTATGTAAAAAAAAAATAAATAAATAAAAATGTAAAAAAAAATGTTTAAAAATTATAATTTTTGCTTATAAACTAATTTGGATTTTTTTTTTTACTAAAAAGATAACGGAATAAATTTTGGCTAAGATTTATGATGAAATATTATTTATTTGCAAAATTTTATAAAAAAAACACTTTTTTAAAAAATTTTTGGACATTTCATTTACATAGCAAAAAAAATACAAATCCCAGTGGTGAATAAATACCACCAAAATAAAGCTTTATCTATCTAAAAAAAAATGATAAAAAATTCATTTGGGTACAGTGTTGCATGACCGCGCAATTGTCATTCAAAGTGTGATAGCGCTAAAAGCTGAAAATTGCCCTGGTCAGGAAGGGGGTAAAAGTGTCCGGTCTGGAAGTGGTTAAAGAGGCTGCAGTTTTGTCTCATTGCTGTTTGGTCTTCAATTGCTGATTCTTGTGCCTGACCTCTGATACTAACCCTGCTTGGTCCTGATCTCCGCTTGTCTGCTACCTGCCCTGACCCCGGCTTGTCTTGGATTACTCTTCTGCCTCCTGTGCCTGTCTGATTGAACCTCCGCTGCTGACCTGGCCTGTGACTCTGCCATCTTCCGACTATGCTTGATCTGCCCAACTGTTACCGAACCGACTCATCTGACCCTGCATCTTTCATCCTGCTCACTGCAACATATCAGTCCTGCTAATCCGCATCTGGATCCTGCTTCCTGCTGCAATTCTACAACCTGATGACAGCTGAGATCCATGCCAGGTTATCTGCCATCAACCTGTCCTACTGCTTTACCTGCCTGCCGCTAACACACAGACTACTGGACTGATCATAGGCACTCATACCTCACCGTGCTCCTGTGGCTGCTGTCCCACCACCAGCAGCCCTTGAGCCAGAGCTGTACGGGAGGCCTGCCTTTTCACGGGAAGCAGAATCTTTCAATGACACAAAAGTAGATTTGTTGTTTGTCTGTTATTATTTTTATTGCATGGGGTAGAAAATGGGGATTAATAGACTAGGATAGGTGTGTAGGAAATAATATTTTTTTTAAAGTATTTATTTAATATAGGTACTTATATAGTGCCAACAATTTCCACAGATATATACACTATATTGCCAAAAGCATTGGGACACCTGTCTTTACACGCACATGAACTTTAATGGCATCCCAGTCTTAGTCCATAGGGTTCAATATTTACTTGGCCCACCCTTTGCAGCTATAATACCTTCAACTCTTCTGGGAAGGCTGTCCACAAGGTTTAGGAGTGTGTCTATGGGAATGTTTGACCATTCTTCCAGAAGCGCATTTGTGAGGTCAGGCACTGATGTCGGAAGAGAAGGCCTGGCCCTAATTCATCCCAAAGGTGTTATTTCCGGCTGAGGTCAGGACTTTGTGCAGGCAAGTCAAGTTCCGTCCTAAACTTGCTCATCCATGTCTTCATGGACCTTGCTTTGTGCACTGGTGCGCAGACATGTTGGAACAGGAAGGGGCCATCCTCAAACTCTTTCCACAAGGTTAGGAGCATAAAATTGTCCAAAATGTCTTGGTTTGCTGACGCCTTAAGAGTTCCTTTTTCTGGAACTAAGTCCCAAGTCCTGAAAAAAAAACCATAGTCCCCTTTCCACTAAAGTTTACACTTGGCACAATGCAGTCAGGCAAGTACCGTTCTCCTGGCAAACACCAAACCCAGACACATCCATCTGATTGCCCGACAGAGAAGTGTGATTCCTCACTCCAGAGAACACATCTCCACTGACTCCAGTGGCAGCCTGTTTACACCACTGCATCCTATGCTTTGTATTGTACTTGGTGATGTAAGGCTTGGATGCAGCTGCTCAGCTTACCACGCTTGAATTCACCAAGCTCCTGAGAGTGACCCATTCTTTCATAAATGTTTCTAGAAGCAATCTGTATGCCCAGGTGCTTGGTTTTATACATCTGTGGCCATAGAGGTGATTGGAACATCCAAATCCAAGGATTTGGAGGGGTGTCCCAATACCTTTGGCAATATAGTGTGTGTGTATATATATATAGTTGTGTTCAAAATAATAGAAGTGTGTTGAAAAAAGTGAATAAAGCTCAAAATCCTTCTAATAGCTTTTATTTCCATACACACAAATGCATTGGGAACACTACACATTCTATTCCAAATCAAAACATGAAGAAAAATATATCAAAGTTGTGTTGTTCCTCTAAAAAAATTGAAGAAAAGTGAATATTAGACTGTTCAAAAAAATAGCAGTGTTTGTATTCTTCTTTACAAACTCAAACATTCACTATATAAACTGAAAAATGTTTGAAGATTTTGCTTTCCTTTGAATCACGTAATTAATATTTAGTTGTATAAGCACTGTTTCTGAGAACTGCTGTACATCTGTGTTGCATGGAGTCAACCAACTTCTGGCACCTGTGAACAGGTATTCCAGCCCAGGATGATTGGACTACATTCCACATTTCTTCTCTATTTCTTGGTTTTGCCTCAAAAACTGCATTTTTGATGTCACCTCACAAGTTTTCTATTGGATTAAGATCTGGGGATTGGGCTGGCCACTCCATAACATCAATCTTGTTGGTCTGGAACCAAGATGTTGCACGTTTACTGGTGTGTTTGGGGTCGTTGTCTTGTTTGAACACCCATTTCAAGGGCATTTCCTCTTCAGTATAAGGCAGCATGACCTCTTCAAGTATTCTGATGTATTCAAACTGATCCATGATCCCTGGTATGCGATAAATAGGCCCAACACCGTAGTATGAGAAACATCCCCATATCATGATGCTTGCACAACCATGCTTCACTGTCTTCACAGTGTACTGTGGCTTGAATTCAGTGTTTGGGGGTCATCTGACAAACTGTCTCCGGCCACTAGACCCAAAAAGAACAATCTTACTTTCACCAGTCCACAAAATGTTGCGCCATTTCTCTTTAGGCCAGTCAATGTGCTCTTTGGCAAATTGTAACCTCTTCAGCACATCTTTGTTTCAACAGTGGGACTTTGCGGGGGCTTCTTGCAGATAGCTTGGCTTCACATAAGCGTCTTCTAATTGTAACAGTACTCACAGGTAACTTTAGACCTTCTTTGATCTTCCTGGAGCTGATTGTTGGCTGAGTCCTTGCCAATTTGGCTATTCTTCTATCCATTTGAATGGTAGTTTTTCACTTTCTTCCACGTCTTTCAGGTTTTGGTGGCCATTTTAAAGCATTTGCAATCATTTTAGCTGAGCAGCCTATCATTTTCTGCACTTCTTTATATGTTTTCCCCCTCTCCAATCAACTTTTTAATCAAGGTACGCTGTTCTTCTTAACAATGTCTGGAACGACCCATTTTCCTCAGAATTTCAGAGAGAAATGCACTGTAACCAGCATGTACAACATTTGTTGCCTTCCTTCCTTAAATAAGGGCAATAATTGCCACCTGTTTTTCAAAGAATGAATGACCTCACTAATAGAACTCCACACTGCTATTATTTTGAACATGCCCCTTTCAATTAGTGATTCAATTACACAGAATCAGCAGCATGCATGTCATGACTGTTGGGTCTGTTGGATTTGTATTTCTCTACTACACCTGCTAGTAAATTATTTGCCATGTAGATATCATTTCTACCAAAAACAGTGATTGATCAGGTTAGTGATGTCTGACTGCTATTATTTTGAACACAACTGTGTATATATATATTCACAGCAGTGCCTGCCCTCAAGGTGCCTACAATCTAAGGTCCCTAACCTACATTCATGCATACTCATGGATGTTTATGTCAAATATACCAAAGTAATGTAAAAATCTGAATAACAAAAGAATGAAAAAGCAAAAAAAAAAAAACTGAAAAAAGAAAACCTGACAAGCCATGTTACATTTACTCTTTAGATGATAATGAAAAGCATTAAAACTGAGAGCAGCTCAGCTAAGTCTTTAAATGACCTCTTATTATTACTAGTCGGTTCATCTTCCCCGCTGTACTGCCTTGAAACCTCTCTCCTCTGAGAAATTCCTGATGAACCAAACATCAGACAGGATGTCATTCTGCATCAAATCAAATAGCTGTTTTTTTCTTTCTGTGTAATATAGCTGCACAAATCCTCTTCTGCAGAATGCTGTCTTATCAGTGTCACCCCAGGCATCATGCTCCCACAAAATGTGACAGTCCCATTATAGGCTAGGGTCACGCAGGAATATTACAGTCACATGTAACAAATA